TCGATGTGTGTTTATTAGTTTTTCACTGTAATGCTCTGATTCCTGAAGCAGTTAATCAGTCTTCTCTCTTGTGAAAATTAGCAGACAGTGCCACATGCTGAAAAGCTGAAAATTGGATTAATATATTTCTTTTCAGTTTTAAAACAGTCATCTGTTGTTGTCATTAGAAGTAATTGGCTCCTGAGCTATAAAAAGAGCTGCTTCCTTTTTCTGGGGGAAAAAAAGCCTCCACTGGGAGTTCAGAAGATGGATCTGTCATGTCAGATTTTTTCCCCTGCCTTCCCCTTCCTGGCATGCTGGAATCCTTGCTGGCTTGGTTGCAATCTCATCATAGTTTTCTCCAAATTAATATTTTTCTCAAAATGAGTCTGAACTCAACTCCGACAACCTTAGAGGGAGGTGGAAGGTGTGGGCTCCTTCTAGTAGGGCAGGCTGGGTGCAGGTTTGTATTCTTTGTAAAGTCACCATTAGACCAAAGCTGTGGGGTCTTTTTAGCAGGCAGAATTCTTCAGCCCTTCAGAAGAAGGGTACAGTAATGGCAAATTATTTACTGGGACTGCTGGTGCCAGCTGAGGATGGGACATGTCTCTGCTCTATAAAACACTCCCCAAGCAGTCTGGCTGATGCTGTTCTCTCCAAGCTGCAGCTTTTGTGCCAAAGACAAAGCCCAACTCCAGGGTTGTGGTTTCGTTTCTTGAAGATCAAAGTCCCATTCCACATCAACCACCAGTGGGTTGGAAAACCTCATTTTTCCTGAAACATCTCCTGCCAGGCAGTGCCCACAGGTGGGCAGCCCTAGAGGGCTCTGCCTCCACTGCCTTCGTGGCTCTTCCAGCACTGGACATGCCCTGTTGGGGTTTTGGGACTGTCTTTTACTACTCAGGGTTTGCAGGGAAGGCTGGTTGCTCTAACAGTGTATGTGGTGGCATTTGGAGTGTTAAAATTGTTGGGTTTCTTTGCTTTTGAAACTTGCTTTTGAAATAAATCGGCGTTCCCTGCAGCAGGTTGGTTGGGATCTTGAGCAGCTCTGCTGTAGCCAAGGCAAGGTCTGAAGGACAACATGTAACACACATTCTCCTCTTTGGTGGAGCTGTGGGGGCTTCCACCAGGCCTTGCACTGCCACTGCAGGCCCCAGGCAAATGGCATTCAAATCCTAGATAAGGCTATAGGTTCTCCTCATCCTGTGAGTCCATCAGTACCTGCTGCCACTTGCTGGGTGGCTGCTGCATCTGGCTCCAAAAATGTCTGGATTTCAGTGAGAAATTGCCTCTTGTATCCCAGTGTGTGTGTGTGTTGTGGGGTTTTTATCCCCTTGAACTCTAACCTATGAGATGCTTCCTTTGCTGAGTCTCCTACAGCCCTTTTTTCCTTCCAGCCCTTTTCCTGACTGCTCAGACTGGCTGTAGCTCCAGAAGCATTTTGGTAGCCAAGATGTCAAGAGGCTTCACTCTCTCTAGCTGGTTCCCCAGGCAGAAGTTAAAAGCCTGGGTGTTTGGAGGCAGAAGTGGTGCTGCTGAAAGCCCTGACCACACTGACAGCATCAGAAAGAAGAGGCTTTTAAAAAGGAATCTAACTCAGCTTTTTAATGGGATTCATCCTCGTGCAAGGTTTCCAGAGCTGCTGTAACTACAAAATAGGGTTGGGTAGCCATGGAGAGATAGATGACTCTTCCTGAGGGCAGAGCTGAAGGAAGGAAAAGAAAACAATTTATTGATATTGGTGGAAAGTGGAGAAGAGCTCCACAGGTCATCCTGTGAGTGCTCCCATCCCCTGGGAAACATCACCAGCCTTGCTGCATCCCCCTTCTGGCCCTTTGCACCCTCTTAGCAGAGGGGTTAATAGATCAGCCATCCTGGGCATCCTTACAGAGCCAGGATGGTAGCAAAGGGATTAGGCATGAGCTCAGTTCAAATACATGGAGGCCAAGACTTGCTGCTTTTGTTCCCTATGCTGGGCTCACACTTGGCCAGGGACATTTTGCATCGAGTCCTGTTTTGATTTAAATGATGAGTGAGAAGAGAGCAGGGCATGTTTTACAGGATTGAGAAGGGAAACAATTAGATGTTATGTCCCAAAGGTATAAAAAGGGAGGAAGGGCTTTCCATGAAGAAAATGAAAATATTACTAATTCATCTATTAAGTGATGAAAGTGTCTTGTGAAATAGGCAGCAAACACAGCCCCTGGGAATTTTAAGCAGTAATGAGTAAAACTCTGGAAGGCATAGCAGTAAAGTGGCTGCTGTGCTGCAGCTTGTCCTGCTCTGCCTTCTTAGGCTCCCAGTGAAAGGATCAAGGCTGTACTTACAACCCAACGTCAGGTTCCAGCTTCAGAAACCCCCAGGTATGAAGCAGTTGTCACCACCTGACATTTATTTTCCACCTTCGTGGAATGCTCTGTGTGTTCAAGGCACAGTAGTAGCTTTTATATTCCAGCCCTCAAAATGGGGTGCAAACACATCCCTTGTACTTCTGCTGTACCCCATCCTGGGCACTCAGATGCCACCAGAGATGCTGCTTTGGACACACTTCCCCTGTTGTGCACTGAGAGGGATCAGAAGCTTCCAGGGGGCTGTTCATGTAATCCAGTGTGTTTCCCATGGGACCAACCCCTCCATCCTGACATGAATTTGTGCCCAAAAATAGTAGTGAGCAAAAGCCTTCCCTGCAAAGGCTCCTGATCTTCCTGTCTTCTTTAGACTCCTTGCATCCTGCTGAGAGGTTTAATTAACATCCCAGTTGACAGGCCTGGTCAGACTGAAGTGTGGATTCCACATCATTTAGCAGAGGGGCTGTGGGCTGCCCTGGGAAAACAGGGCAAACCAGAAAGGGGAATAAATGCAATGGAGAAAGAAAAAATAAAATCAAATTAATAGACCTCAAGGTGTTTCATGGACACACAAAGAGGGTGGAATCCTCTGCTCAATGAGAAACAAAGTCTTAAAAATCTAGGTAACAGTGGCCCTGGGTGTAGGCAGCCCAGAGTAGGGTTGGAGATGGAATGAGGGCAGTTGGGATGTTGGAAAAGCAGCTGAGGCTGCTGCAGTACTGGAATGGGAAGGGTCCATGGAGCAGAGCTGGGGCTCAGGGTGGTTTGGCACCGTGTGTGCTGTCCCAGGCTGGCACCCTGGCCTGGGAGAGGGGAGCAGCAGCAGAGACAGCTCTGCCCATCACCCTGCATCTGCCTCCAGTGACCAGCTCTGGAAAATGGCAGGAGGGGAGGAGGTTTAAGCCCATGAATTGGCTTTTTGGTAGGTGACAGAAAGAGGCATCAGGTGGCTTTGATCAGAGAATGGGTCCTGTGTGGCTTCTGGTCTCCAAGGCATGTCTGGCTTTGGGGTGAGATGCCAGTGCTCCCCAGGCTGTGCCTGGGAGGGAGGGATGTGTTTGGCACAGGCCTGGGGAGGAGATCTCCCATTGCCTTTGAATTTGCAGCTCTGGAAGGATGAGCCAGGCTGGCAGGAGTGGCTGGGAAAGCCCTAGGCATCTTCAGAGCTGTTTCCAAGCAGCAGTGGGGGCTGGTGCTCCAGCCCCTGCCCAGCATCCTGCCCCTACCCACCAGCAACCCATGCTGAAGGGCTCTCTGTTCCACCCCTGCCTCTCCACTGGAGGGTTTCTCTGCCCACTGTGGGCTTTCTATGTCAAGAGGGTCTCAGACTGTCACTGTTGTGTTTTGTCAGGTGTCTTGCAGAGTAAGGAGAGGAAGAAATGCACACAAGTGTGTTTTCTGTTTTCCTCAATAACAGACAATCACCATTCAACAGAATTTTCATTAAGATTGGGAAAAACATCAATGGAAGAGAGAACTGCCCAAAGCTGGTGTGTTTGAGTAACTGCTGCACTCACAGTTATCAAATGGGACACCACATCTATTTTACTGTTGTTTTGGGGCTGCAGTTCTGCTGAAATGGAAGTTTTCTCTTCTGATCTCCACCTCCCTGACCCCTTGGGAAGCACTGTGGTGTGCTCAGTTGGCAGCAAGTGACAGAGCTGTCAGGCAGGGATACTCAAGCAGTAGCACACGTGTCCAAAAAGGATTTTGAAAATTAATTTTTAATATGTGGCCTCTGCCCTGATTTCTCTGTGCTGGTCTAAACCCACTGGTATAAATAGCCCAACTGACCTGAATGGGTATTCTTGGGTACAGCAACAAAAAAGAATAAGGAGGTAAACTGCTACTGGAGGTAAACATGTATCTAGGTATGATCTAGGACATGCAGATTTCTTTTCTTTCCTTAGAATTTCCTCTAATCACTGGTTTTTGAAACAGACTTCTTGAAAAGGACTTTAGGGACTGGTGCATTTGGATTGTGCTGTATTTCTCCTCTCCTGCTTGTCAGTCAGCCTTGATGACCCTGGATCTGGTGGCTGCCATCATCTCCATGGCTGGATGAATGAGAGCTGACATTTCAGTGCAAGCCCAAACAAGGGCCAGAGTCTACAGCAACCTCTGGGTCCCTCCATTCAATATAAAAAAAGACCCAGGCAGCTGGGTGAGGTTGCAAACCATCCCACTGGATGTGCACACCCTGAGCCTGTCCTTGGGCTGCATGGAGCCAAACCCAGTTGATTTGCAGGGGAAAAGGCAGAAGGATCCAGGGTATTTTTTATTTTAACTAAGCTTCAGAGGGCTCTTTTGGGCAGACTTCTCCCTGGCAAGGGTCTGCAGACTCTGTTGACCCCCTTGGTCCTTTCTGCCATGTATGGTCCTTTCCTGGCCACAATGAAATCATTGCAATGAAAGTACAGATCTGCAGGCTGAAAAGAATTAATGCATCAATAGACTGTGCATGGTAAAGAGCAGAAAGAGACACTATTTGGTCTTACACTTCTTTTCATTCCTTTTCCTCTCTTAAGGTTCTGTAGGTCTCTATAGCTGCCTGGTGCTGTTAAGGTCAGTGTCCAGTGGAAGCAGGAGAATCTGCAGCACATTTGCCAGTATGTTTACATCACAACCAGCTTTATAGAGGCATCATCATTCACCACGTGTTCCAACAGAGGCATGGATCTCTTCCAATTTCATTTGCTGAAGCTGGAGCTCACAGCTGGGTCACTGCTGGTGAGCACGGGGAGATGGAGCTCCTGGGGCAGCTGCTTGGAGCAGCAGCATCCTGACCATCCCTGCACCCACCAGCCACCATGGCAAAGCACCCCAGTCCCCTCCTGCAGCAGGGCTGGCTTCATCAATCCTGTTCCAAGGAGCAATAATCAATACTTCATGGTTAATGACACAAAACTGAAATTAGTATAGATTTTATGTCTCCTTCTCATCCCAATTATGCAAACATTGCTGTGCCCCCCCTCTGTGCTTGCTTTATATCACAGCTCTTAGAAAGTCTGGCTTGTGATGGTTAATTGAAAGACTGAATAGTCAAAAATGTCACAACCAATTTGGGTTTTTACTTTTGTTTTGGTTGGGTTTTTTCCATTTGGTCTTCACCCTGAGGTTAATGGAAAATGATGTCAAACACAAGAAATGATTTATGTAATTCGTGCAGGTTTTGTCACCCAGAGCTATAGATAAAGTCAATTGCAAATTGTTTTCACATTCTAAATTACTGTACCTAGCTCCAGGGTGCACTGGGAAAGTGGCCAGTGGAAGGAGATGGGAGAAGAAAAGGTTATCTCTGAACTGAACGGAGCTTCAGAGAAAACAGGTTTGAAAGCTGTTTGGTTTTAATATGCCAGAGGAGGATGTTCCTCAGCACAAGGAGGGGGGAAAAAAAGGCAAAAACTAAGAGAGTTTCTCATCTGGATCAATTCCAATGGCTGTGGAGCAGTGGGCAGCCCTTTATCAGCCAGATCATGGCCACGAAATGGTGCTACAATGAGAGACCCCAGGGGCAAAGACTGGGGAAACCTCTGACCTGCCAGCTTGGCAGATGTAGTGTGTGCATAAAATGTATTTTGCAGTGATGGTCCTTCCAGAAATGAAAGCTGTGTTGGGAGTAAACCAGCTATCAGCTGTGGTCTTATTTTGTGTTGAACAGGCTGGGATTTTGTACAGGATTAAAAAGCAACAGGTAAAAATTCTCTGTTTCTCAAAACTGGGTTTATTTGGGAAAGCAGAAGGTGGAGTTGGCTGGTCTGTTGTGTGCCTGGAGTCTTATTGGACAAAAAAAAATCTTGGATTCATCCCCAGGTCAGATCAGATAGACATGATAAAAACATCCTTCTATTGCCTTTGTAATGTTCTTAGCCTTCCTGGGAACCTTATGAAGAGACTGGGCACGTGTGCTCTGTGCGTGTGAGTCCCAGTGATGCCAGGGCACCTGGGGGGATTGTGCCCTGTGAGGTGTGGAAAGCTCAGCCCAGGAATTACCCCCCCTGGAGCACCTGCTTCATTGCAACCAGGTTCTCTTCCACCCCTCAGCTCCCACCCCTTTGGAGCAACCAAACCCTCCCAGCCATATACAACTGTGTTTTTTAAGCCACATCTCTGTGCTGAACACGGTGGGTAGATTTTCCTAGGCTGTTAACATGGATGCAGGGATCCCCAGCTAACAAACTTGTGACATCTCTGCTGTTGAAACAGGATCTGATGCAAATACCCTGGTAAAGGCATCGAGCTGTAGATCTTAGGCAGTGACTCTTAATTATGAGACTGAATGCTGTTTGATTGCAGAACAAAGAGAAGTGCCTGATGGGATGAGCTGATGCTCACTTGCCTCTTACCAAGCCCCTCTCCTCCCAGATCAAAGCAGTCACACACCTAAGACATGAAATAATACTTTCCTCTTTTGCTCTGTTACTTTTAAAATTTTTTTTCAGGTCTGCAGGTCTTTCAAGTGTGTGCTGGACACACTGATAGATACATTTATCTTTTCACTTATGCCCTATGATAAGATGAGGGGCAGTGGATTCAAACTCAAGCGCAGGAAGTTCCACCTCAACGTGAGGAAGAACTTTCCTGTGAGGGTGACAGAGCCCTGGGCCAGGCTGCCCAGAGAGGTTGTGGAGTCTCCTTCTCTGGAGACTTCCAAGACCTGTCTGGATGCTTTTCTGAGTGATCTGCCCTAGGTTTTGGTCCTGTTCTGGCCAGGAGGTTGGACTCGATGATCTTCAGAGGTCCTTTCCATCCCCTGACATTCTGTGGTTGTGTGATTGGTTTCTCTGTAGTTATTTTGGATCTCTCAATTTAAAGCAAGCCCAGAGACATCACCTAAGGGACTGTTTTGCTTAATGGTTGGTTCACAACACCTCGAGGTTGAGGGGGAATGTCCAATGTCAACCAAAGGCTTCCCATAAACACGTTGAAATGTGGTTGTATTTTCTTTCTCTCTTTGCAGGAAGAGCTCAGAAGGCTGCAGCACACCTTGGAACAGGTCAAGAATGGCAAAGACTTGCTTCAGAGGTAAAAATAGGCAATTTCTGCAGGTTCTCACATGTGGTGAAATGAAATGGCTTTTCTTAGGCAACAAGCCTTTTCTGTGGGATGCTCTCTTTGTTGTAGACTGTTCCTCACTTGGTAATACACTAAATAGTCAAGATTTTTGCACCTCTCCCATAAACGATTCTTATTCTTAGTTGCAGGAGGATAATTTCTGAAAACTGCTGATTGAATGATGTAATTCAGTGCCCAGTAAAGTCTCAAAATAACTCCACAGGTTGGGGTCTAATCTTACACCTTTTCATGCAGAGGCCTTTCATTCATGTTGCTGGTCCCATCCAAAGCAGCCTCCTCAGACCTTTGATTTTTATCTTCCAGCATTTTCAACTTGCTTTCTCAGAGTGACTGGTTTGCAGCACCAATTCCCTGGTCATCATTTATTACAAGGACTTTTTTTTTCTCCTTCCCATTCCTGTATGGCTTTTGCTGATGTCATTTATTTGCTACCATTTGTTACCATTGTTACTTCCCATTTTTACTCTCCAGCTTTTCTGACGTAGCCCCAGGGGTTGAGAGTTAATTTAGCAGGAATATCTGTTATATTGGCCAGTGTTTGATGGGGTTGTTTTTTTTTTGCAGCAGCAGCTTCTTTGCTGGGTGTGCCTGTCTCTGGAGCTGTGGCATGTGGCAGGTTGAGTGCAAGGGCTCAGGTAGGCTCTGATCTGGAAAAAGGATCCAAATTGGTGCTTTCTGTTAACAGCCAAATGGGGCTGGAGAAAGGGACCCAGATGCTTCCTCCAAAGACAGCAACACCCTCTAATGAGCAGCTCTTGCACATACTTGTCAAAATTTCAGGATTATTTGGCAGTTACTACAAAAGCATCATGCTGAGATGCACTAAACCCATTCTCTTTTCTTCCCCATAGCCATCAGCTTGCCATGGATGAAGAAAATAATATTGAAAAATACAATATCAACTCACAGCCCTTGGAATCCAAAGTGAAAATGTAAGTAAGGAAGAATGTAATTTCTGCTTTTAAGTGCAGCTGAGTTGCTGATCCCTGAACCACAGAACCCAGACTGTATCCATCTCAGAGTCAATTTAAATATAAAAAAGCCTCAGTTTCACAAGGTGGCTGAGCTCTGCTTTCCCTCTAAGCATACAGACATTCTCTTTGAGTTGCAGATGCTGAACTTTAAGGTTCCCACTAACTTTGTGATTTCCTCTGTGAAACTCCAGAGTATTTGAAGGTTTTCCATACACACAGAGAGCATTCTGGTGGGGGGAAGTGCAGTACAGAAGTCTCTTCAGTGCTGGTTTTCACATCTGAGGTGAAGCCTGGTTTGAGCTCCTTGGGCATCTCATGGGTCTTGTCCTCAGGTTCACAGGGGGGTGGAGATGTATGTTCAGGGGGGTGGAGATGTATGGAGGGGCACTGGAGGGGCAGTGCAGCTCCCTGGCACTAAGCAAGCTGATTTTCCTTGGAGCACAGAGCAGTTCTAGCACTGAGCCAAGGCACATAGGTGACACCTAGCTGCCACCTGGAAGATCTTTCTGGACTAGAAGATCTTTCGAGGTCCCTTCCAACCCCTAGGATTCTCTGATTCAACCCCTAGGATTCTATGAAGGAGGAGAGAAGCATCACTGTGGACTGGCAGTGAAGTCCCCAGCTTCCAAATGCAAATGTTGCAGCCTTTGTAAGACGTTTCCCACATGTTGTGTAGTCTGCTCTGGGGTCATTTATCCTTGACTGTGCTGGAAAACTTGGGGCAACACTGGGGATAGAACTGAAAACTGCCCCAGGCATCTATCAGAGCACAACACTCCTCTTTGGGCTTCTTCCAGCCCTGGGGCAACATCCAGCTGTTCCCAGCTCTGCCCTACATGGTGCCCCTGAACTTCCCAGCAGACAACTGAAGTTTAACATGTATAAAAAAATAATAATCAGAACATCTTTATGTTAAAGCCCCCAACTGCTTCATGGTCCAAATGGGGTGCAGGTCTCCTCAGAGCTGTATGCATTGTGTAGTACAGATTAAATCCCACTTTCAGCTGAAAAGCTACAGCTAACTCATTATCCAGGACATTAAAATATTAATGCTATATTCAAATATTAAAAGGACATGAAGCTTCAAATTAAAATCCAGCCAGTGTCTTTTAGTCATGCAAATATAAGCCAGATGACAGAATACATTTTCAGGGAGCTTTCAGGAAGGGTAATTATGACTTAACCTCAGTCTATTCTCCAGCTTTAAAGTAGAAAGTGCATGTAAATATAAACATGTACTGCTGGTATATATTATGCAGTAAAGCTTGAAACTGAAACAATGGAAAGTGTAACTGCTTGAGGTGTGGAGATACCAGGGATTAATGCAAAATGCATTTACTGGAAGCTCCTCCGTGGGCACTCGTGTTCAGGGGCTGGGGTAGGTATTTCTCCTCATTTTAAAGGTGTTGTATGAAAACAACACAGATCTTAACCCACCTGACTGGCTCTGAAGTGCACCAACCCTGGGGAGGCTGTTGTCTTTCTGAGCTGGTATTTTTCTGTTAAAACAAAGCACCCCAATGCAGGCATTGGCTGGGGGAGCTGCCCCACACAGGGAGGCAGGGCAGCACAGGAGCTTTGCACCATCAGAACAGCTTCAGCAAGGCTCAGGGTGCTCTACCTGCTTAACAAACACACTGGAGGTCTTGCTGCTTTGATATCCCTATGATTAAACTCTCAATTCCTTAAAAAATGCTGACGGGAGCTCTTTCTAGCTCACTGCACCATAGCAGGGGTCTGAGGTCAGAATTTAGCTCCACTTTCTTGCAGAGCTCATGGGTCAGCCTGGGTGCAGACACCCACGTGTGTGCTGTTAATGCCATGACTATCCCAAACACAGCTTTCATTCCCAACATCTTCCCCTGGCCTCCAGGACACGCTGGGAGAGGCACAGGCAGTCTGGCACTGCCACCTGCTGAGAGCTGTCCTGGCCTCCTGCTCCCTGGCCACTGCCCAGCTCAGGACATGGAATTGCTTTACAAAATTTCCCCTCAGGTTTTAGAAGCTTGGTCAAAGTTGAGGATTTGAAAGCAGAGCTCCTCCTGCAAATCCCACATGCTGGCTTTAGGCCTACAGCTACCCAAGATGGAGATGTTAAAGAGATGGAGATGGTCTGGCTCTGAATAATATCTACCTGGTGATGTGCAAGCTGATGCCAACAGCAGATGTTGGAGGCTGTTCTCTCTTTGAAAAAGATAATTCTGTAGTTTTACTTTGTTTGCCAGATAGAAGAGAGTTGCTCAGTTCTGTGCAACCTCAAATTTAAGTCTCCTTATGGATTTGAAATAAAGAATTGCTTCTACTCTACAGACACCTAACTTGGGTTAAGCTGAAGAGTAGAACCCCAGTGACACTAGTGGTGGCTCCCGTGAGACCTACAGGTGGTCGCTGTGAGTGACCAAACTGGAAAACAAAATGCCCCAAAAAAGAAAGAACCACCAAAGCCACCTCTTCAGTCAAGAAGAGATAGATTTGAAATGCTTGCTGTTGCTGCATGGCCCTCCCCAACCCTGTGCTTTGGTGTGTGTGCAGCATCCAGCGAGCGTGGCGCGAGTACCTGCAGCGCCAGGACCTGCCGCCCCGGGACAAGCGCAGCCCCTCCCCACCCTCCCTCTCCTCAGACAAGATGAGCAGGTCCATCAGCTTGACCACCTTCTCTGACAGCAGCACCCCGGTGAGTGCAGTGCTGGGACCAGTTTTCCTGTCTGTTGCTTGGTGTTGGGTTCCTTTCTAGCGCTTGGGAGGAAGGAAAGCTGAGTTATGGGCTCGTCACTGACTTTGAGGGGAGCCAGGGGTGTCTCAAACAATCCTGGGAGCTGTTGTGTCTCTTGTGGGTGCTGTTCAACTTGGGACTGTGCTTGTGGGGTGTGGATCTCAGGCCCTGGCCTAGGATGCCCAGGGCAGGGCTGGAGTCCCCATCCCTGGAGGGATTTCAAAGCCCTGGAGATGGTGCTGCGGGACACGGGTTAGTGGTGGCCTTGGCAGGGCTGGGTGAAGGGTTGGACTTGATGATCTTCGAGGTCTTTTCCAACCCTAATGATTCTGATATTTTTTAGGGGACCCAACAGATATTAGCAGATGGGAAAAGGTGTTTCCAAGGGGTGGGGTGGTGTTCTGCAGAGAGCAGGGATCCTCACACGTGTTTGGCACTTTGTGGTCTCCAAAAAGCTGAATTGTGGTGCCTTTCCTACAAATAAATGTGTTGTGTAGGGAGGTTGCTTGTTGTGGTGGTGGTGGGGTTTCTTCATGGTGTGTTTTGGTTTTGAATTGGTTGGGTTTTTTTCCTGAAAGAGACTTAGAGAAGTTGATCTAAGGATTAAAAATGAAACTTGCCTTGGGAGGAAATGTTGACACCACTGTGCAGACTGACTGAAGGCTGTATTTCTCTTTTTAAGGTGACTCTCAACTCAAAACTTTAAATATAGAGGCCATTTCTTTGCAAACAAGTGTCTTTGTGACCCATCCTGGTGTGGGACCTTCTCGGTCAGTAACTCAGCTCTAGTGCCTGTAAATCCTGCCTCCAGCTTTGTGGCAGAATGCAGCAGCTTCGAGGAAACTTGCAGAGAAGAGTTCATGAAATAAATAGCTTAAAAAAAAAAACCCACAACAAACCAACCCAGAAGGCAGGAATTGCTGTGGTGTGTGTTAGACCAGCTAAGTAAAAGGTGTCCCAGTGTTCAGCTGAGCTGAGCAGGGTCACAGATCCTTTTCTGAGCTCTGATTTTGGGCTTACGGGGACAATTGGAGCCTTCCCTTTGTTATACCAGGTTCAGCCTGGAGCGAGGGGAGCAGTCCCAGCAGCTGGGGTGTTTGTGACACCCTGCCTGGACCTGCCAGCATTTAAGAACACATTCCTGGGAGTGATTTGGAGGTGCCTCCTGTCGGTGGCTGGAGAGCCACCTGATAAACTAGGTTGTGATGGGTTGTGCACTGATGTGTCATGTGTGAAAGGAGGTAGGTGAGAGGGACAAATCTGGGTGTTATTTGGAAGCTTTGGGGTTGTTTTCAGCCCTGCTGGGTGAGCTGGAGCCGCCGGGCAGGACCCTGAGCCAGCCCCTCGCTTTCCACAAGAGGTCCCTCCTACCCTGCACAGGGAGGCTCTGCAGCTGGAGCTGAGTTTGGAAAACGATGCCTTTGCAGGGCTTTCGGGTCCTGGGGGGGTTTAAAATGATTGCATCTGAGGGTTACGTGTTGGTGGGAACACAAAGAGTGGATCCTGGAGTTGCTCCCTGGATCCCACCTGGATGTTCCTGTGTGATGTGCTCTGGGTGCCCCTGCTCTGGCAGAGGGGGTTGGACTGGGTGATCTTTCCAGGTCCCTTCCAACCCCTAGGATTCTATGATTCCATGATTCTACTTGTCTGTAGCAACTCCCCTCCCTTCTGCACCCTGCCTGTTTCATGCTGAGGAGGTCGGGAATCTTTCCTTACCCTTTCCTCGTTGCCAAGCTGGCCAATAACCTCTGCAAAACAAGGAGACGTTTCTGCAGGCTCAGGGTTTGCTGCTCATCCCGACCCTGCCCCGGGTGGGAAAACCTGCCCCGGGTGGGAAAACCTGCCCCTGGGTCCCTGCCCACCCCTCAGGATGCTCTGGGCTGGTGGGTCCTCCCATTAGAGCTACCCAAGTGAGACGTGCTTGTCCAAGGAGACTGGCTGATTCTTTTTCTGACCTTTCCCCATGGGTTGGTGTCACAGAAAGTCGTTCCCAAGGTCTTGCTCTCCCCTGGCCCCAGCTGGATTAGCTAAAAATGCAACACCAACCAAACCCCCAGCCAAGGCCAGGTGCCTAACTGGGGCTCACCAGAATACCCACCATTGACAATAAAACCCATGTTACTTCAGGCTCATCACAAGCTCAAGTACCTCTTCTTCTCTAACGCTCAGGACAAAACCAATGAGCACAAACCAAAAGGCAAGAGATTCTGTCTGAACCTTAGGGGATACTCTTTGATTTTTACTGTCACCAACTGGCATAGGTGACCCAGAGAGAATGTGGAGTCTCTATCCTTGGGTATATTCAACCTTGGGTATATTCCTGGGAAAACTGTTCTAGGTGGCCCTGCTTGGTCAGAGGGGGTTGGACCTGGTGGTCTCTGGAGGTGTTTTTCAACATCAGACATGCTGTGATTCTGTAAAGTGGTTGGGAGGAACTGGAGTGAAATGGTTGAACCTGAAGCACAATATCAGATCAAAGTTAAACAGACATCTGCAAAAAAACATTTGCAGCTCATTCTGTTTGTAATGAAGCCTTTTATCTGGCTCAAGGTCTTACCTTGTATCTTGGGGGGTTTGGGCAGCAATGAACAAACATGTTTTGCTTAGTAAGAATTAACACATAATTCCCCAAGTTTGTTCTTAGGGAGGGATCATTTTTAAAGCAGCAAAACAAAAATATGCAGGAATTTGATTTCTTTATTAAAATCCTGTTGGGTTTTTTGGTATTGTCTAATAGTGATGCCCATACTGTTCACCCACCTCCCCACACTCATCCTGGGAGAAAATAGTGATTTTCCTCACTACAAATGCAAAAGAGTAACTTTTAAATGCAGTTTGAGGACTAAAACCCAGCAGTACTTGCTGTGGGCAGAATTTAAGTGCCTATTTTTCATTCAATCATGAAATGTGCAGCGTGCAAATACTCCTAAGGTGTGGGCAGGAACCCCTCCAGAAAACCAACAGTTCAGGATGTTTTCTTCATAACTTGCAAACTTCTGCAGATGGAATAAAGGATAAAAAGAAAAACCAGGCACACTGCTACCACATGCTGCTCACTGAAAGCTATTCAGCTCTTTGGTAGCAGTTAGTTTCCTTCTTAGCTCTTCCCAGCCCTTTAATAGGTGTTTATTTTTAAACACTGTCTTGTTGGGATGAAATCTATTCTGTTGTTTTAATACCAGTTACCTCTGGTGATCTGGGGCTGTAACATGGCCTGAAAGTTCAGGAATGTGGAGCTTTCTAAATGAGTTTTGGACAATCTCATGTGTTTTCATATTTCATTTGCTCTACCAGGAGTTGTCATCCTCCTGGCTTAGGAAAAAAAAATGTCCTGAATGCTTTCTAACATCATCTATTTATAAACCTTGTCACCTTTAGCTGAAGGGAGCTTGGCTCTGTGTGCTGCATTGCAGTGCTATTTAGAAGCAAGAAAAAGGTCTGTGGGAAAACCTGAGCTCCACCAGGGCAGGTTTAAAACTCCTCATGCCTTAACATGGCCAGAGCCCAACCCTCCAGGGCCTGGATCTGCAGGCTGGACATCAGGGGTTGGTGTGATTATTTTTTTTTTTGCATTATCATCTAAGGTGTTGTTTTTTTTTTAAGAATGTGAATTTTAACATGCATGACTGAAGGGATGATTTCAGTCCCTTAATTCAGCCTTTTTCTCACACTGATGGAAAGTCATAAGTCTCACCACCCTCACAGCAAAGAATTTCTTCCTAATGTCTCATCTAAATCTCCCCTCTCCCAGTTTTCATCCATCCCCCTCATCCCATCCCTCCCTGCCCTTGTCCCAAGCCCCTCCCCAGCTTTCCTGGAGCCCCTTCAGGCACTGGAAGCTGCTCTAAGGTCTCCCTGGAGCCTTCTCTTCTCCAGGTTGAACACCCCAACTCTCCCAGCCTGGCTCCAGCCTTCAGGACACCTCAGGGGCACTCCTGGTGTCACCCCTCCCCACAGGTGGGGATGGTGCAGCAGCAGCCAGAGCTCAGACAGGCACATTTGCTGAGCCAAATATTCAAGCAGTGGAGAAAATGAGAGTGGCTTTTGAATGGGGAAGAGAAGACACCCCAAAAGCTGAGCAGAGGCTCTGTGTGGTTTGCTCTGACCTGGCAGCATCTTGCAGGTAACACGTTCATTTATCCCTCCCACCTCTTTGGCCACAACTGCTTCTGTCATCTCATGCCTGAGGTCTGTTATGGTCTTCCTCTAGTGATGGGTACAAATTACTACAGAGCAGATAAGGTTGCAGAATTGGGGGGTTTTTTCCTGGTGCTGTTTCATTTTTCCATCTCTCAGTTAGGTGGGAAGGGCACGGGGTGGTTTGTCTCCAACTCAGCATTATGTGAGACTGGGAGATTTCCAGCTGCACATTTTCCCTGAGGCAGGTGACTGAGCTCACTGGAATTAATTGTATTCTGATGTTACCAAAAAAAAAGGGGGGGAGATGTAGGAAATCTATGTAACAGACAGTACAGTCATGGTTAGTAGGAGCAGGAGGAATTAAATATATAAAATACATGTACTAAAAATTTATTAATGCATAGGGGAAACCCTCCTGAAATAGCCAGAGCCATCACAGTCTATTAGTGGCCATATCCACAGTGAAATGTGGCAGCAGCACTTTAATGGGGTCTATTACAGAGCAGTGGCTCTTTCCAAATATATTCTGTTTATATCCTCCTAAAGTGGAAAGTATTTATTTCTGCTCATAAAATAAATGTTTAGATTAAATACACTGGAAAAGTGGATTTTTTACCTGAACTGCTTTAGCTGTTTCTCTCACTGCTCTGAAATGAAGTAGCCAAATAACAAACATTGTCCTGACCTTTGGGAGACTCTAAATCTATTTCCATAACTACATTTTTGAGCCAACTTGACTGCTTATGTACATGAACTGACTTCTCAGGATCAGCTGAAGTTCATTAGTGAGATGTATATGACATGGTAGGAGGGAGAATGTGCTGAACCAACAGCAGTTTAGAAGCCCTGAGACCTTTTGCTCAAGTCCTGGGTGCACCATT